GAGCTTTTGTGCATTTTACATTGCTAAAAAACATCCTATACAGTATCAGCGCCTGATCATGGTACCATCACGTACAACAAACAGCCACATGCAGGACACCCTACTGCCAATCCTTTGCCTTCCCAACCTAAAGAATTTTCCTCAGTTCATGGTGAACTTTATTCAGCAAAACGGCCCAATCTAAGTGTCCTGCAGACACCACTAAGACAAAAACTTATTTAAAACATATAGATTGATAGGTTCTGTTGCAACAGAGCAAATTTTGAAGACAAAGCTTTATGTCAGGCATTCTTTCCCTGTGAATTGAGATTTTTTGAAAATACTGTTCAACATAGGTAAGATTTTTTTTTTTACATTATTTATGACTTAAAAGCATACATCTGTAACTGGAAAAAGACAAAACCCAAGAGAACAGTTTGATAAGAGACACAGCTTTCAGTGAGAAGAAAGTTTTTACATCTCCAGTGACATACTCAGCAATTATAGCATGGCAAAAGAATTAATATATCATATCACGTGCAGTTGTTACTACAAAGATTTACATGTTGCTTTATTGGGTGCAGAAATTTCTTTTGTCTAGATCAGCCATTAACTGCAGTCATGGACACTAACAAAGACAAGCTTGCCACAGCATTTTAGAGAGAGCTACGATTGCTCCAAATGACAGCTGTATTAGCTTTCATGTGCTTCTGTAGGGAAGTGACAGTCAAAGCTGAAACCCCAGGCCTCTTTCTCCTTGCAAGCAAATGTAAAACTTTAATGCAGTTGGTTACTACCATTCTAAAAATAAATTAACATCAGCATGTGTGCCACACTGACAGTATCACACTTTCAGAACTACAACAGAGTTGATAAGTCTGCTAACCAATTACTGCTTATTAAGCTTGAGCACATCTTCCCAAAAAGCCAGATAAGCTTGTCAGCTCTACAGAGCCACCAAAGACATAATGACATTCTTTGCAAGAATGGTGGTTTGCCAGAGTATCCTGGTTAGATCTTCCTCCGGTGGTTTGGTGGGCACAAGGAAACAGAGACATCTACCCTTCTGCTGATACGGCACTGATGCAGTAATATTGCTTTATGCAGCAAATAGGGAAGGTGACAGTAGAAGACAAAGCAGCAATGATTCATGTGCTTTGGGCATTACGAGAAAGGTGTTTTCAGAAAGAATCCAAAAGGTGAAATTCACCTCTAGGCAAAGGGCCAGCACAAAGCAAAGGACCTCAAAACTAGCTCAAAGTGGTTGCTTAAGTAATTGACGGGCTCCATGCCAGTCTTGTAGGTAAAGATGAATTTCATCCTCAAACTAAGGAAGGAACATTTAAGAGATCCAAATGTGAACAAAACCCCTATCAGGTCAACAACATATGCAACAAAACAAAGGAGTGGCAGGTTGCAAGGAGACTAAGTCGAGTTGTGAGGGAAGGACAATAATATAGAAGTCAGATATTTTGTTGCCTGGCAATTCAAGAGCCAAGAAAGAAACTATAAAAGAAGCAATGCATTGGGCATAGTGTTTTAGGGAGAGCCTTTTCTACAATTGAGTTGGTTCACTTTTCTAAAGGGAGTACCTCGTGAGAATAAAAGTCATGAGACCAACTAATAAGGAGCACTTCCCCTCAAGATGGCAAAAGCAGCTTTCTCAAATCAGGGATCTTAACTATCCAGAAATGGACAAACCAACCAACCTTGAATGATTCTGTTCATTTGAAAAGCATCAAAATGCAGTGTCCCTTTTAAAAATATGTTCTTATCACATTCAGATGTTTGAAAGACATACTGTATCAAAATGTCTTATCCAACTATCCAAAATTATGTATTAACTAAGCATTAGCTTAGGTTTTAAAGTCAAAATGAATACTTCCAATGTGGTGCTATGCTGGTGGCACATTCCATTCTTCAAAACAGGAACGTCTGGAGTATTTACTCTTTCTCACCCTCTGCCAGTAAGGCGGCACGTGTTGCTGTGACAGAACTGCACCCGTCAGGACTGCTGTTGCACCTGGGCTCACTCACCATGCTTATCAGTCTTCTGGACTAGGTATCTTAGGATGGTCTTAAGCAGACCTTGTTATTTGAAAAGATGCAGATCTCTACTGTAGCATTAGCACAGCAAGATACCACTGACTATGAAATTAACTTTCTCTCCAGGCAAAACGGCTTTTTAAAGGAAAGATCTTTCTATCAAATTTGTAAGAGAATTTATTATGCTAAACTTTTTTCACTAGCTTCCTAAGGAAGCAATTAAGTTTCTTTGCAATTATTCCATTAAGGAAACCAAGACAAATTAAAAAGGATTATCCACTTCGGTACTGTAGCGAAGCTCTGAAAGAAGTGTCTCCCTCCAGATTTTGGGGTCTGGATTTTATTCCTTGCAAACCCAGATTTACCCCCTAAGTGGACCCGGCAAAATCTTTGGTGTTTGATGAACAGCAAAAAGCCTGTACTTTCTTTTAGTTACACAATGTTACTAGGAAGGTGGTGTAAATAAAAATACAATCACAATAATAATTTTGTTAATTTACATACATTCCCACTTGAAAGACCTGAGTATATGAAGCAGAACACTAGAATAATGACTATAGCACAAAATGTTGCCAGACTTATTTACAACACTGTGTAAAAATGAGTAATTAAAAATACATACACAATTACATAATGAACAGTTTCTCTTTGTAAAAATTAAACATCTTGGAAGTTAAAATCAGAGCAAAATTACACAGCTGGTCCTTGTTAAGCTTGTTAAGCAAGCAATGGTATACCTCGTTCAAACAACCATGATATGTCAGCCAGCCCTTCTCAAACTGCAATGACAGGCTGAACTGGGAGGAAGACATCCTACACTTCACATGTCAACTCAGTCTTTAGAAACAGCTCACAATGGCTTGTAATGAAGCATGCATTTACTGTATTCTTCTTAGTCTTTAGAAAAGCTGGTGTTCAGAGTTTTTCCTAGAACAGACACTTTCTTTGTGCTGAGAGAGATTCGCTGTATTAATAATAGGTATGCTTTCTAGTAGTGATTTTGTGATACTTGCTAATCGTAATTTTTGTGGTATTTGTGGTAATCTGTAATAAAGTAGAGCAATTCAGAGGATAAAGCCTCTGTGTCCTTGTATATTACAGAATCCTATGAACCCATGGTTGCAATCTCTCCTCACCCACATGCTGAGTAACCTTTTAGGTTGTGACAACTGCTTATTAAAACTATTCTTGTATTTCATACCACAGACATGTACGAAATCGAAGGCAGAAAACAGACTATCAGATCATGACCATGCAGCATGTTGAGGGATGAAGTACACACAAAGTAGAATAGTATAGAATAGAATCATTAAGGTTGGAAAAGACCTCTAAGATCACCTAGTCCAACCGTCAACCCAACACCACCATGCCTACTAAACCATGTCCCCAGGTGCCACATTTTTTTAACACCTCCAGGGACGGTGACTCCACCACCTCTCTGGGCACCCTGTTCCCATGCTTGACCACTCTTTCAGTAAACAAACTTTTCCTAAGATCTAAACCTTCCCTGACGCAACTTGAGGCCATTTCCTCTCATCTTATCACTAGCTACTTGGGAGAAGAGCCCAACACCCACCTCACTACAACCTCCTTTCAGGTAGTTGTAGAGAGCGATAAGGTCTCCCCTCAGCCTCCTCTTCTCCAGGCTAAACAACCCCAGTTCCCTCAGCCGCTCCTCATAAGACCTGTGCTCCAGACCCTTCACCAGCTTCGTTGCCCTTCTCTGGACATGCTCCAGCAACTCAATGCTTTTCTTGTAGTGAGGGCCCCAAAACTGGACACAGTATTCCAGGTGCGGCCTCACCAGCGCTGAGTACAGGGCGACAATCACCTCCCTGCTCCTGCTGGCCACACCCTTCTTGATACAAACCAGGCTGGCCACACTATTCCTAATACAAGCCAGGATGCCGTTGGTCATCTTGGCCACCTGGGCACACTGCTGGCTCATGTTCACGGCTGTCGACCAGCACTCCCAGGTCCTTTTCCCCCGGACAGCTCTGCCCATGTTCAAGGAGGCAGGGAGAGGTTGCATATTACATGCTGCTCTGGTCCATTTGGAGGACTGGCACATACACTTCCTCTGAGGCTGACTACTGCTAAGTAGCTGACAACAGCTCTGATGTCCCCTGTCCGCACAGGCACATCATCAATCCTGCTGGCACCAAGCTGACTGGCACCTTGGACAGCCTCAAGAATTACAACCATAAAAATGATGAGGATTTTTTTAATAGCTACTTTTACTTACAAAGCACCAGAAACATTTAGGATACATTTTCTTCTGTCAAATTTTTGTCCAAAACGAAGAAGATAAGATTACATGAACGCAGTGAGACCACACATTCCCTTAATCTCACCTCTCAGAATTACACAAATATGGCCTGACTTGCACAAAAGCTCTGAGAACTAGTCACACTGTAAAAATAATTTGCACCACAAAACCATATTACTGCCTATGGCCGGTTTAATAGACCTATGCCAGGGTGTTCAGAAGCTATCAATACCTTTCTCTGCTTAAATCACCAGAAACACAGCATTGATGGGAAACTCCACGGAAACTTCTTTCCACAGTACATCAGACAAAGAATGGGAAAAAAATAGCATTTTATAAAACAGTAATGGATTTTGTTTGTTAATAAAAAGCAACATCTGCCAGAGGCATTTAAACAAGGATGATGCAGAAATTGAGATGAATACGTTGGTAAGCCTTACTGCCAGATTAATGCCTATAATGAAAAGTAATAAAGTGAACTACGCATGTTGCTATACCAGTGTAATTTTTTTTACCCTATTACATATTGATAAGAACTTATATTCCTTACCAATGCCAGCAGCAACTCATTTTATGAATGCAAATTAACTTTTCACTTTTATTCTTTGTGAACGTAAGTTTTATACCTGTGCTTTATATTATACCTACAGGAGACTTCAAACAAATCTGTGATGTGTTATGAAAACATAATAATATAAGTGCTTACCTTTTTCAGGAACCGTACTCCATAGGTAAATATATAAAGGTAAAATGTAAACCTCCACCTGCAAAAGGTACAAGAGATTAACTCTAGGATACCAGGTTTACACACTTTACAGTTCAACACATGATTTCTTATGGCACTGCCAAACCACCACACACTGGTCACATTAACAGAAGTTGAAGCAAAATTTTGGTCTGGTTTTCTACAACTTTTGTTATCAAGCATTGTGCTCATCTGCCTGCTTTTCCCAGCCTCCCATTAGCTCTCTGAAAATACTGGCTAATTTCACCTAAACATGACAGAAAAACCCCCAAATTTTCAAGGATAATTAAGTTTTTTGAAGTTTAACGAAAACTAAGATGACAGAGGAGGACAGAGGACAATTTGCACACCTATTGCAGGGAAGTTCACTTATTCCTAGACACCAAGACAATGATAGTAAGAAATTTTATAAAGCCTTCAACAGGCAACTTCAGAGTGCTGCACGTCAAATACAGTCTTTAATAATGAAAAGCATCATCCACAATGAGCTGGAATTAGCAGGATCAGCTTAGCAGATTCCAGTACTTCACTCTTGGTTTTAGGGAGTCCAGTTGCATCAGACAGATATGCTGGATACAGGTATATATCCACAATTTACATCTGCTTCCAAAGAGTTTCCTTAATAAAGATGATTCTACATTTTCCCAAGTACACATGAAATAATTGCTCAGCTTTTAGTTTTTCTTTTCAGACAGAGGCAAACTAGAAGCTAGGATCAAGATGCCATGGAAAATAAGAGAGAAAACAGCAGGAGATTTAATACAAAATCATCCTGTCCTCTACGTCTTTCTCCCTTCCCCAATAAAAGAAGACATACAGAGTATCTTCCTATCTTTTGGACCCATTACTGGCTTAGGAAAGAAGAGTCAATGGAAGTATAAGGAAATAAAAATCAAAACCTCATGCAGTGTAAATTCTTAGAGGAATTCCTGGGTTTTTTTCCAAGGGTTGGAGTGACTACACAGACATCCTTGACATAAACACCAGTGAGGTACTATTCATAACGTTTATAGCAGGATGAGATTTAGCTTCCTTAGTGTGAGGCAGTACTGCAGCGTGAATCATCTTCAATTACATCTTTTACAGCACTTACAACTTTCTTTCCACTAGCAAAACTATTAGCTTACGGTTAATTGTCATTGAAGCATGTTCAGACATTACTGGAACGGTTTCAAAACTGAAAATGCTCCTATGTAAAAGAAGGTTAATCCAAACCTTCCTCTTCAAAGCTACTTTTACAAGTATTTAGAAAGAAAGTTATGTCATACATAAATAACCCGTGGATGAGTTGAGTATAGGAGAGTGTAGGAACATCAGTGAGTTTTAAAGTGTGATACTTCAGCTGAACAGAAACCGTCTCTTATCCTGTAGCGTCCACAGCACTGCAGAGATTAGTTTATTCAATTGATATGATACAAATACCAATCCCTTCAAGGGTCCAGTCACACTAGGCTACATGTCTCACAGCTTTCATGCTGGCAGTTTCTTCAAGATACTGCAAAAATAGAGCACTTGGAGGCAAAACGTTAGTTGTGCTGGCAGAAACCTTCAGATTGCACACATGGAAGAAACAGGAAGGACAGCAATATGAAGGAAGGTTTTATTTGGGTAACAATTTTCTCATTAGGCCAGTCCTATGGCTAGGAAACCTGCCATTTAACTTCAAGGTTACATACCTCATCTAGTGAAAGTTTGAAGGCCATCACTGAAAATAAAAATATTAGGAGAGAAAAACTGTCTAATCTAATCTCACTGCTGAACACTCACAGTGCCTTTCTTTCACTCCTAAGTGTCAGCAGTTATGATCAATTCCTTACAAAGAGTTTTCTTGTTCTAAAAATCCCCTCAATATCACCTTTATTTCACATTTCTCCAAGCAAAATTCACAACATATTTGAGGACATTTGTAGCTTGCTGTTGGGAGATGCAATATTCCATGGAGAAGTTCAAAGGCTGTCTGAAGTACCTGAAATACATTACTGGTTAAGTTTTAGATGGTGGGTCTCAGGGATTTTCCAGTCTGCCCAGATGTCTGAAAGACTCTGGTTGCAGTATTTGCTGCAGCTATTACCTCAGAGGAAATAAAAAGGCCCTTTCCTGAAACAAGCAAATTCAGAAACACAGATTTCTCCATCTAACTTTCCACCCCCACCCCCCAAAGCACTGCCACTGCAGTAGACCTGCGCTAAAGCCATGGATTGCCCTGTAGGAGAATTTCCGGAGCTTGGGAAAAACCTCAGAGCCAAGAGCCACCAGGTACTCTTTGGGTCTGCCAAAGACAATCAACTTGCTCCAACTGTTCATATGCTACAAAGGTGGTATATGCATACAAGTATATGATAATATATGCTATTGGTCGTCTTTCCTCTTCTTCTCTAACCTGCCAAACAAGTCTACTTGGATTGAGCATCAGAAGATAAAGCAAGACTTAGAGCTGGGTGATAAACAAAGCTGGTCAAAGTGCTAACTTCTTGAAAAAAAAAAAAAAAGCAATATTGGTAGAAAAAAGTGCTCATTCCTGCTAAACAACATCCACAAAAGCTATTCAACAAACTTCTGGCTTGGTCAAACTGCAATAAATTCAAAACAAAAGCAAAATCAGAATTGGCCCCCAGCATGTTTATCACCATTAATCAGCTAACTCTGGTGGTAGCAGACCTGCAAAGGACTTTCCACTGCTCTGCACCAGGCAGCTAGCTGCCTTTTCTGGGGGCTTCAAAGGGAAATTCTACTGGCTCAATAGCCCAATTGGAATCTCAGTCCCATACAAGGAAGTCCAAGGAGTTTCCCACATTGTTTTACCACTACTTGTAGGTGGTTTATTGCTGCAATTAACACCAAAATATCCACTGGCCAAGCTCAAATATATGAATGCAAGAAGGTTTGGAAGAAAGTTATTAAACTATTTATTATTATACAGTAAGTGAATATATCTGGTCTCACTAGATAAGTAACTATGTTCAACATTTTAGTAAACGTTGCAGATTAACTACTACCACCAATGACCTTAACAATTGGAGATCTTAATTTGTAACTGTCTTTTTAAGTAAAATAAGGTTTAAATAAAAAAAGAGACGAAGATATAACTAGATGCTTATTACCTACAAATTAATATATACTGAGATCTACAAAATCCACATTAAATGAAATCAACAGTGAAGACCATTTACAGAATGAGTAACATTTATGAGTGTCCTGGTTTTGGCTGGGATAGAGTTAATTTTCTTCCTAGTAGCAGGCATTGTGCTGTATTTTGGATTTACTATGAGAATAATGCTGATAACACACCGATGGTTTAGTTGTTGCTAAGTAGTGCTTATGCTAGTCAAGGACTTTTCAGCTTCCCATGCTCTGCCAGGTACACAAGAAGCTGGGAGGGGGCACAGCCAGGACAGCTGACCCAAACTGGCCAAAGGGCTATTCCATACCATATGATGTCACGCTCAGTATAGAAACTGGGGGCAGTTGGCGGGGAGGCAGCGATCGCTGCTTGGGGACTGGCTGGGTATCAGTCAGCGAATGGTGAGCAATTGCATTGTGTATCACTTATTTTGTATACAACAGAGGCCACTAGGTGAAGCACCCCATTGTGGGCGACCACCGCAACAATTCACATTTAACTGAAAGATGATGACAGCTGAAGCTGCTCTGTTTTGTGAGAATTTGCTCTGGCCCTCAGACCTGAAACACTCCTCCAGTATATAGACACACAAAATGTGAATGACCCACATACACATAAAGGGTGCTGCTTGAAAGACTTTTTAGGTTAATTTAAATCCCGCAAACCCAGATGAAAGTGCTCAAGGAACAAGTGTTCTGGAAGACTTGATCTGTCTGCTCACAATAGGGTTTATGAGGTTCACTTTAGTCCTGCACTAATATGCCTACAAGACTTCCAGATTGAACCAGGCTTGCGTCTGGTCTGCTCGAGCTCAGAATGAGGGGGATCAAACCTGTTTACGTATGGCCCTTCTGTCAAATCCTTCAGGTTGTGCTGGTACTTACCAGGCCAGCATTTCAAATACGGACGTGACACACTGCAGCGAAGAGTCAAGCTAAAAAGTGACTCTTCGGTAACAAAAAAAGAAATTATTTTCTAATGTAGTCTTAAAATGAATGCTCTAGAGCCTCTCAAGAGTGCAGCAACAGATCTGACTGCTCTTGTTCAATACGTGAGTGCATTCCTGATCCAGAGCACATACAGTTGCTTAACCTCTCAACCCTTTTAACTTTGAGCTGCTAATGAAATTTTAAAGATGTTTCAGCATGATACAGAACACTAAGAAGATGGAAAAGTTGGAGAGTCTCTGCCAACTAATCTGGTATACCCCGTCATGCTCAACTCAGCAAAAACTATTTAAGTACACACTTGAGCAAGCACTTCACTGATTTCATGCATATGTCTAACCAGGTTCCTTTCATCACACTGATGAATTTTGTCCTTAAAATTCCCCTTCAAATTTCTGCTCTGAAATGTGAAATAAAACTTCAGCTAATAAAACCAAATTGTTCAAGCAATGTGCAAGCAAAGAACCCCCCTACCCCATATACATGCACACATATTTTGCAGAGCCCACCACATGGGTTTCGTGCTCTGTGTCAGAAAGACACCATCCTCCCCATGGACCTGCCATCCAGCAGAGCAAGCTCAGCATGGCCACTCTCCCAGGATAAGGGCTGCTTTTGCCAAGAAGGCGGCTGAAGAGCCACAAGGTCTCTCCGCTCTTGCAATTTTCCCTTTCTTCCATTTCTTTTGCAGAAAGACTGGCCGGCTGGGCGGTGAATACAGGCACTCCCGCAGAGCCCCCAGCTTTGCAGCGAACCCCCGGCAGCGCACAGCTCTCCCCACTGTAAGCGCATGCCCCTTACAGCTCCGATGCCAAACCAGTGCCTGCTGCCCAGCAATGCTGTGCAAGGATCCAAAGTTACCCAACTGACTTTTGATAAGCAAACATGAAACATAATAAATGCACAATGTTAAAAACATTACAGCCATTTTGCTTCCAGAATTGTAGCTGT